CTCCTAAAAGGGAAAAGGGGAAAACTGTTAGTTAACTTTAAAAAAGCATAAAATATCTGAACAAAAATAAAATAAAATTTAAAAGTGTTGGTCCCATTTTTCATAAATACCCCAAAATGTTCCATTTACACAAGAAACGTATTTATCTCAAAATTTGTGCACAAATTTGTTTACATCCCTGTTAGTGAGCATTTCTCCTTTGCCAAGATAATCCATCCACCTGACAGGTGTGGCATATCAAGAAGCTGATTAAACAGCATGATCATTACACAGGTGCACCTTATGCTGGGGACAATAAAAGGCCACTCTAAACTGTGCAATTTTGTCACACATCACAATCTCACAGATGTTTCAAGTTTTGAGGGAGTGTGCAATTGGCATGCTGACTGCAGGAATGTCCACCAGAGCTGTTGCTGGTGAATTGAATGTTCATTTCTCTATCATAAACTGTTTCCAACATCGTTATAGAGAATTTGGCAGTACGTCCAACCGGCCTCACAACCACAGACCACGTGTAATCACGCCAACCCAGGACCTCCACATCCGGCTTCTTCACCTGCGGGATCGTCTGAGACCAGCCACCCAGACAGCTGAGGAAACTGGGGAGTATTTCTGTCTGTAATAAAGCCCTTTTGTGGGGAAAAACTCATTCTGATTGGCTGGGCCTGGCTCCCCAGTGGGTGGACCTTGCTCCCAAGTGGGTGGGCCTATGCCCTCCCAGGCCCACCTGTGGCTGCGTCCCTGCCCAGTCATGTGAAATCCATAGATTAGGGCCTAATGAATTTACAGTGTATTTCAATTGACTGATTTACTTATATGAACTGTAACTCAGTAAAATCGTTGAAATTGTTGCATGTTGCGTTTAGATTTTTGCTCAGTATAGAATATTACATTATTAGTCCATTTGTTATTCTTTCTCTTATGCTAAGCCCCCCAGAAAAAAATATCACACATATTTTCACAAGGGCCAAGTAACATTTATTGATAAAAAAAAACATGGATTGCAGATAGGATTGTAACTTGATAAACATTTGAATGAATTTCATGTCAATGGGAGATTTGTCCTAGAGAGTGATAAGTTGAATGCACCAATTTGTAAGTCGCTCTGGATAAGAGCGTCTGCTAAATGACTTGAATGTAAATGATCAAGATCTAGACTGTGTTTGTTTGAGATCGCGATTGAGAGATCACAAGTTAGGATGGAGCTCAAGTCAAGTTATTGAATCATTGTTAAAAACAGCCCCCAGCTCAAAGGACCATTGACAGCATTACAAGACAGTCCTTCAGAAAGAACTGTAAATCTGACATATGCTTAAACCTGCCTACAAGCGATGACTTTGGTGGTCCATATGGGCACTGAATACACACACAAAGGGACACACACACACTGACATACACTGACATAATTCTATCCTAAAACTAAAGCAAGAAGCACCAGTTACTTGGTTAATAAGGAAGTGGTCAGATGACGCAGATGCTAAGCTACAGGACTGTTCATCAATAAGTGCATCGATGACGTCGTCCCCACAGTGACCGTACCTACATACCCCAACCAGAAGCAATGGATTACAGGCAACATCCACACTGAGCTAAAGGGTAGAGCTGCCGCTTTCAAGGAGCGGGACTCTAACCCGGATGCTTATAAGAAATCCTGCTATGCCCTCCGACGAACCATCAAACAGGCAAAGAGAAAATACAGGACTAAGATTGAATCGTACTACACCGGCTCCGACGCTCGTCGGATGTGGCAGGGCTTGCAAACTATTACAGACTACAAAGGGAAGCACAGCTGCGAGCTGCCCAGTGACACGAGCCTACAAGACGAGCTAAATCACTTCTATGCTCACTTCGAGGCAAGCAACACTGAAGCATGCATGAGAGCATCAGCTGTTCCGGATGACTATGTGATCACGCTCTCCATAGCCGATGTGAGTATGACTTTTAAGCAGGTCAACATTCACAAGGCCCGTGTAGCTCAGTTGGTAGAGCATGGCGTTTGCAACGCCAGGGTTGTGGGTTCATTTCCCACAGGGGACCAGTATGAAAAAAATATATATATGTATGCACTCACTAACTGTAAGTCACTCTGGATAAGAGCGTCTGCTAAATTACTAAAATGTAAAAATGTAAGGCCACAGGGCCAGACGGATTACCAGGACGTGTACTCCGAGCATGTGCTGACCAACTGGAAGTCTGACATTTTCAACATGTCCTTGACTGAGTCTGTAATACCAACATGTTTCAAGCAGACCACCATAGTCCCTGTGCCCAAGAACACTAAGATAACCTGCCTAAATGACTACCGACCCGTTGCACTCACGTCTGTAGCCATGAAGTGCTTTGAAAGGCTGGTCATGGCTCACATCAACACCATTATCCCAGAAACCCTAGACCCACTCCAGTTTGCATACCAGATCCACAGATGATGCAATCTCTATTGCACTCCACACTGCCCTTTCCCACCTGGACAAGAGGAACACCTACGTGAGAATGCTATTCATTGACTACAGCTCATCATTCAACACCATAGTGCCCTCAAAGCTCATCAATATGCTAAGGACCCTGGGACTAAACACCTCCCTCTGCAACTGGATCCTGGACTTCCTGAAGGGCCGCCCCCAGGTGGTAAAGGTAGGCAACAACACATCTGCCACACTGATCTTCAACACTGGGGCCCCTCAGGGGTGAGTGCTTAGTCCCCTCCTGTACACCCACAACTGCGTAGCCAAGCACGACTCCAACACCATCATTAAGTTTGCTGACAACACAACAGTCCAGTAACTGTAACTAGACGAGGACTATTGAGGTCCAGTACGTGTGACTTGGCTCCTCTTTAGACTATTGAGGTCCAGTACGTGTGACTTGGCTCCTCTTTAGACTATTGAGGTCCAGTACCTGTGACTTGTCTCCTCTTTAGACTATTGAGGTCCAGTACGTGTGACTTGTCTCCTCTTTAGACTATTGAGGTTCAGTATCTGTGACTTGTCTCCTCTTTAGACTATTGAGGTCCAGTACGTGTGACTTGTCTCCTCTTTAGACTATTGAGGTACAGTACCTGTGACTTGTCTCCTCTTTAGACTATTGAGGTCCAGTACGTGTGACTTGTCTCCTCTTTAGACTATTGAGGTCCAGTACCTGTGACTTGTCTCCTCCCAACACGTTGACCATGACCTCCATGACAGTCTCGTGCATCCCCAGGACTCTCATTAGGTTGGGGTGCTGGTAGAACACCTTGTTGTTCATTATGTCACTGAAAACACACAGAGGCCAGGCCAAGCTAATTATCTGAGATAACGGTTGCTTCATAGTTGAACTAAACACGATCAAAAAAAACAATATTGTGGATGTATGGATCATTACAATAATACTAAATGCACACACACATACACACCCACACCCTCCTCTCCTCTCTCACCCCAGTCCGTCGATCATGAGTTTCTCCTCTTCTTTCCCCATGCGTACAGACAGCAGTGATCTGATCTGGCCCAGAGAGGCCAGGAGGTTGACACAGTCCTGTACTGACACAGCAGAGATGGTGTAACCTGGTAATAGCAATGGGCAAAAGTTAGACTGGACAGTCCTGTACTGACATAGCAGCGATGGTGTAACCTGTTACAAGTAAGGGACAAAAGTTAGATTTGCAATCTGTCTGGCTATGTGACACAAGGATCCAGTACATACTCTTCTTCATGGCCCTCAGCAGCGCTCCGATGCCGTCGTACTGACGTCTCAGCAGGCTGAACATCACACGAACCAGCTCTGGGTCCTGGATGCTGCACTCCTGAGCCCAGCTTGCCATGGACTGGCTGATCAACTCCTTCAGATTGGCTGAGGGGAGATCAGAGTGTGTAATCTATTTAATCGTACAGTAGTAACAGCAGCTCTGGGTCCTGGATACTCCGTAGCCATGGTCTGGCTGAACTCCTTCAGGTTGGCTGGAGAATGGAAGAATGAAGTTAATTATTTCAAATCTAGTCAATATGTGTACTCTCCACATCCTGTGAGAAACAACTCTTTCCACTCTCTAGGGCGCATATTATATTTATGCAATATGGCATTTGCTCTAAGAAAATGGCTGGACTTCATGGGGAGTCAGTGCTTGATTAGGCTGAGGGATAGCTGGTCGTGCTCTACAAGAGCTGACCACTCCGTGTGCATACAGATGAAGCCGTTGAGCTGCAGTTCTCCTGATCATTCCCGTCTATGACCCATGAAACATTGATAATACTTGGTCTCAGTTATTATGTTAACAAACAAAATGCAACTCAAAATTAATATATATATATATTGGGGGTGGGGGTGTGTGGTCTGTAAGATCCGAGACGGCCAAGGTGTGTACACTCTTCAGAAGGTATTCAGAACCCTTGACTTTTCCACATTTTGTTACGTTACAGACTTATTCTAAAATTGATTAAATATATTTTTTTCCTCATCAATTTACACACCATACCCCATAATGACAAAGCAAAAACACCTTTTAGAAAAATTAAAAAAAATAACAAACAGTCTGATGGCCAGGGGATAGAACAGTCAGAAGGTTCACTGTGATATGTTATTATATTCTTGGGCCGAATCAATACATATACACACACACACACACACACACACACACACACAAACACACACACACACACACAAACACACACACACACACAAACGCTCCCCTCTCCCCTCTCCTCTCTCTCCCCTCTCCCCCCTCTCCTCTCTCCCCTCTCCTCTCTCCTCTCTCTCCCCTCTCCCCTCTCCTCTCTCTCCCCTCTCCTCTCTCCTCTCTCTCCCTCCCTCTCCTCTCTCCCCTCTCCTCCCTCTCCTCTCTCTCCCTCTCCCTCCCTCTCTCTCCCCTCTCCTCTCCCCCCCCCTCCCTCCCCCTCTCCCCTCCCCTCCCTCTCCCTCTCCCCCCTCTCCCCTCTCTCTCTCCCCTCCCCCCCTCCTCTCCTCCCCTCTCCTCTCTCCCCCCTTTCTCCTCTCTCCCTTCTCCCCTCTCCCTCCTCCTCTCTCCCCCTCCCCCGCCCTTTTCCTCTCTCCCCCCTCCCCTCTCCCCTCTCCTCTGCCTCCTCTCCTCCCTCCTCTGCCCCCCTTCCCTCCCCTCTCCCCCCCTCTCCTCTCCTCCCCTCCTCCTCCTCCCCCCTCCTCCTTTTCCCTCCCCCTCTCCTCCTCCCCTCTCCCCTCCCCCCTCTCACCTCCCCTCCCCCTCCCCCTCCCCCTCTCCTTTCCCTCCCCTCCTCCTCCTCCCTCCTCTTCCCCCTCTCCCTCTCCCCCTCCCTCCCCTCCTCTCCCCCTCCCCCTCTCCTCTCCCCCTCTCCCCTCTCCTCCTCTCCCCTCCCCCCCCCCTCCTGCTCTCCTTCCCCCTCCCCACCCTTCCTCCTCCCCTCTCTCCTCTCCCCCCCCTCTTCCTTTTCTTCCCCTCTCCCCTCCCCCTCCTCTCTCGTCTCCCCCCTCTCCCCCCTCTCCTCGGCCGCCTCTCCCCCCCCTTTTCTCGCTCCCCCTCTCCTCTCTCCCCCCCCTCTCTCCTCTTCTCCCCCTCTCCTCTCTCCCCCTCGCCTCTCTCCCCCCCCTTCCTCCTCTCTCCCTCTCCTCTCTCCCCTCTTCCCTCTCCTCATCCCCCTCCCCTCCCCTCCTCTCTCTCCACCCTCTCCTCTCTCATCCCCCCCTCTTCCTCTCCCACCCCTCTCTTCCCTCTCCCCCCTCTCTCCCTCCCCTCTCCCCCTCTCCCAGCTCCCCCTCGGGCTTCCCCCCTCTCCTTTTCCCCTCCTTTCTTCCCGCCTCCCCCCTCCCCCCTCCTCCCTCCCCTCCCCCCCCTCCTCCTCCCCCTCTCCCCTCATCCTCTCTCCTACCCTCTCTCTCCTGCTCCCCCCTCTCCCTCTCCCCTCTGCATCCTCTCTTCCCCGTCTCCTCTCATCTCCTCTCTCGCTCATCTGCCGCCTCCTCTCTCCCCTCTCTCCTCTCTCCCTCTTACTCCCCTCGCGCGCTCTCCCTCTCTCTGCTCCTTCTTCTCCCCCGGCTCCCTTGCCCACCCCCTCCCCCTCCTCCCCCCTCCGTCCTCTCCCCCCCTCTCCTCTACTCCCTGCTCCTCCTCTCCCTCTCTTCTCCTCCCCCTCCTCTCCTCTTCTTTTGTCTCTCTACCCCCCTCACCTTCCTCCTCTCCTCCCCCTCCTCTCCTCTACCCAATGTAGACTTCCTCCTTAAACCCACTGAATCCCCCTCCATCCTCATCTGAAACTTGATCTGTGCGTTTTGTAATTAAGTCGATGAGGCTGGCCTAGATGGGAATGTGAAGTACCTTGTCATTAGAACTGTCCCTCAACAGATAATGAACTTTTATTTTTTTCTCCTGCAACCAATAGATTGCCTCGATTATAAGTGTCTAACTTCTGATTGTCCTTCAACACTCATGGTGGGAGTGCCTGGGGGAAAACTGACCAGTCTGTTCCTGGTACACCAACAGCTGTAGCTATGTACTGTACAAGACCTTACTGTAGGTCCCTGGTGGGCAGCACCAATGACCAAGGTTAGTCTTGACTTTGGATTGGGAAGGAAGTATACTGATCAAGGTACAAAAGCAAAGCACACAACTTCCAAAACCAACCCCAAGAACTTTACAAGTAACTGTAAGCTCCAAACTATATACAGTACATATATATATATATATATATATATAAATAATAATAATGTAAACAAACAACTACATACAAACAAAGAAATAAACTATTCACAGTATTTTTCTGAAATTAATATATCATTACCACTTTCATTTTGAAGTTTGTACTTCATTTAGTGAACTGTGATGTTGAGGTGGAGCAGTAACAGCAGTCTAATTGGTGTAAATGAAAGCTGGTTGGCAGACAGAACCCTACCCCGGGAGCTGAGTGGAGTCACAGCGCTCACACACACACACACACACACACACACACACACACACACACACACAGTACATCTGCTCCACCTCTACTCCACCTCTACTCCACCTCTACTCCACCCCTGTTTTCAGAAGTGAGGCTGTCCAAAAACACCCTGCGGCCTGACTCCAAATGAGCAGAGCCACCTATTTAGATATTTTCTCTGCCAATGAGGGTTTGTGTGTAGCCAAATAACAGCGAGGAAGTTTCCTCCGTTTTAAACAGAATCTCTGGAGTGGTGCTGTGGAGGTTGTGAGCGGAGGTTGTTGTTGAGCTGCTGGGAACAGACTGGTTGCATGTCCCTAGAGCTTCTGTAGTGTTGTGGGGGAACAATACATTTTATAGATATCTTACAGAATAATAATATCTGCTGTCGTTAGTGAGGTTGAGTATGAGGTTAATATGAGATTAAAGATTATGACCTACAGGGAAGTCAAAATGAGTCTACTAATGTAACTCTTCAATATTGCAGAACTGAGGCGAGAACCTATAGCACCGAGCGTTAAACATTTCACACAGTTCAACTGTAATATCGGTACGTCGATCAGATAAGTGACGAGCGTGTTTAAAATATCTCTCAAGTACAGCTGACTGAATATGTATGGCATTTTGTCACGTTAATGTGTTACCTTGGTTCACACAAAGACAGAGGGACAGTGAGTATCTTACTGGGAGGAGCTTGTTCCTGCTCTGTAGGCTCCTCCTCTACTTTCTTGGGCGGTCCCTTGACCTTATAGAGCATGGCCAGCAGACGACCCTTTACGGACGTGTCCTGTTCCCCCTCCTCCTCCTCCACTGGGATGCCTGCAGGAACAGAGACAGAAACAAATATGAAAGGCGGACTGGGAGGAGGATTTTAACTCAGGTGTCTCCATCACACTGCGACATAGAGGTTCATGTAGTGCTCTTTGGTAGACCTAGAGTTTATTATTACAGTTAACATATTCCCATCACTATTGAACCTGTGAACCTATTGATTGATACTCATGCCAGTCAAGAATCATCATGTCATGTAGGAGCCATTGTAACTTTTGGATGAACTTTTGAATGAATAACTGAAATGATGTATTGATTTGATGTCAATGGGAGATCTGTGAGTTACTGTATGTGCCTGCATCTCAAATTAGGATTACTCTTTTAACTGTCAATGTGTGTGTGTGTGTGTGTATGTGTGTGTGTGTGTGTGTGTGTGTGTCTGTGTCTGTGTGCATGTGCATGTGCTTCTGCATATGCGTGTGTGCGCCCATGTATGTGTGTGGTGTGTGTGTGGACATCGTACCGCAGTGCAGTCTCAGCTCATCATGAAATTTGTAGAGGTCCTCCTGAATCTCTTCAGGACAGGGACAGTCCTCCCCAGCAGCAAAGTTTAACAGGATGTTGATCTATAAGGAGGGAGAGAAGGAGGGAGAGAGGGAGAGAGGGAGGGAGGGAGGGAGGGAGGGAGGGAGGGAGGGAGGGAGGGAGGGAGGGAGGGAGGGAGGGAGGGAGGGAGGGAGGGAGGCTTAGACAGAGAAACTTTGAGGCCATCCCACAGAGAGAGACTCAGACAGAAAAACTATGAGGCCATCCCACAGAGAGATACTCAGACAGAGAAACTGAGAGGCCATCCCACAGAGAGAGACTCAGACAGAGAAACTGAGAGGCCATCCCACAGAGAGAGACTCAGACAGAGAAACTGAGAGGCCATCCCACAGAGAGAGACTCAGACAGAGAAACTGAGAGGCCATCCCACAGAGAGAGACTCAGACAGAGAACCTGAGAGGCCATCCCACAGAGAGAGACTCAGACAGAGAAACTGAGAGGCCATCCCACAGAGAGAGACTCAGACAGAGAAACTATGAGGCCATTCCACAGAGAGAGACTCAGACAGAGAAACTATGAGGCCATCCCACAGAGAGAGACTCAGACAGAGAAACTGAGAGGCCATCCCACAGAGAGAGACTCAGACAGAGAAACTGAGAGGCCATCCCACAGAGAGAGACTCAGACAGAGAAACTATGAGGCCATCCCACAGAGAGAGACTCAGACAGAGAAACTGAGAGGCCATCCCACAGAGAGAGCCTCAGACAGAGAAACTGAGAGGCCATCCCACAGAGAGAGACTCAGACAGAGAAACTATGAGGCCATCCCACAGAGAGAGACTCAGACAGAGAAACTGAGAGGCCATCCCACAGAGAGAGCCTCAGACAGAGAAACTGAGAGGTCATCCCACAGAGAGAGACAGACAGAGAAACTGAGAGGCCATCCCACAGAGAGAGACTCAGACAGAGAAACTGAGAGGCCATCCCACAGAGAGAGACTCAGACAGAGAAACTGAGAGGCCATCCCACAGAGAGAGACTCAGACAGAGAAACTGAGAGGCCATCCCACAGAGAGAGACTCAGACAGAGAAACTGAGAGGCCATCCCACAGAGAGAGACTCAGACAGAGAAACTATGAGGCCATCCCACAGAGAGAGACTCAGACAGAGAAACTATGAGGCCATCCCACAGAGAGAGACTCAGACAGAGAAACTGAGAGGCCATCCCACAGAGAGAGACTCAGACAGAGAAACTATGAGGCCATCCCACAGAGAGAGACTCAGACAGAGAAACTGAGAGGCCATCCCACAGAGAGAACCTCAGACAGAGAAACTGAGAGGCCATCCCACAGAGAGAGACTCAGACAGAGAAACTGAGAGGCCATCCCACAAAGAGAGACTCAGACAGAGAAACTATGAGGCCATCCCACAGAGAGAGACTCAGACAGAGAAACTGAGAGGCCATCCCACAGAGAGAGCCTCAGACAGAGAAACTGAGAGGTCATCCCACAGAGAGAGACAGACAGAGAAACTGAGAGGCCATCCCACAGAGAGAGACTCAGACAGAGAAACTGAGAGGCCATCCCACAGAGAGAGACTCAGACAGAGAAACTGAGAGGCCATCCCACAGAGAGAGACTCAGACAGTGAAACTATGAGACCATCCCACAGAGAGAGACTCAGACAGAGAAACTGAGAGGCCATCCCACAGAGAGAGACTCAGACAGTGAAACTATGAGACCATCCCACAGAGAGAGACTCAGACAGAGAAACTGAGAGGCCATCCCACAGAGAGAGACTCAGACAGAGAAACTGAGATGCCATCCCTACAGCGCAGCATCATTACAGTGAGTCAGACAGGCCAGGAGATTCTCCCTAGATCACATCTGTTTGATCAATGAAGAGGAGATTGGTCTGGATGGTTTTACCTCTAGCTTGGAGACATAATTTATAGGGGATGCTATGAGGAGATAGATTCTCATCCTATTGTGTGGAAAGCTTTTTACCAGGAGGCTACAGTAATAAGACCATTGGAACAAACACCTGCTACACACCACATATGGTAACTAGCTATATGTGGAGAGACTAGTGCTAACTATAAAAGAGACTCACTATAAACGTAATTGAGTCGAGGATGTTGCCAATGTTTTGATTCTATTTCTGGCACTACCGCTTCTAAATAAAATATAGTGAGAAATAAAGAGGTCTTGGTGAGTACACTCTTAGAAAAAAGGTTTCCAAAAGGGAACCCTTTTTGGTTCCAGGTAGAACCCTTTTTGGTTCCAGGTAGAACCCTTTTTGGTTCCAGGTAGAACCATTTTGGTTTCCATGTAGAACCCTCTTGTTACCATATTATAACTGGGTGTATGGAAATCTACTGAGGGAGAAAGGGAGTGCAGAAATGTTCCATTCTGTCGGAACGTTATTGTTAAATCTCATGTATCCTTTAGAGAGGAGATAGGTAACAGGCTGGTTTCAGTCACTGATAAGGTTGGACAGCCGTGGATTAGGGAGGAGTGAGGAATTCGGGCCGAGGTCAGGTCAGATGAAGTGAGAAGGAACAGTCACCATTTAAGTTCCTGCCTAGCAACGGAGATGTATTGGCTGTCCAGATGTGCAAGGAGGAGACTCCGCCTAGTAGGAGGGTATAAATATATGTGCTGATGGAAACATGTCTTTGTCTTATGCAGCTGTTTGACCCAGTGGGTGAATAAACTTGGTTTGAGCTTTGACTAGTTGTCCCGTGAGTTTCAAAACCTAACAGTTGGCGTTGTCGATGGGATTCACCACGACATACAGTCAAACTAGAGAGTCCGAATCAGTGAAACAGGAGCCGGCACCAAAAACAAGGTAGGCACAGTTCATACACCTGTTATCACTCATTCTGACATCTTGGAGAGATGAGAGTCAGAACCTAACAGGGGACTGCAGAAGAACCATTTTAGGTTCTAGATAGCAGCTTTTTTTCTAAGAGTGTAGTGAAGTGAGTAGGTAAACACCAGTGTCAAACATTTTGCTTCTGAAACACAGATCAGTGTCTTTGATAACTGAGAAAGGGCAGCTAGCAGGAGAGAGATTGATCAGCATAGGCTTAGCAGCTGTAGGGGAGTGCTATTAGAAGTGTGAACAGGAGAGCAGTGTGTGTGTGTGTGTGTGTGTGTGTGTGTGTGTGTGTGTGTGTGTGTGTGTGTGTGTGTGTGTGTGTGTGTGCGCTAACGGGCAGGTCTAATTACAGTCTGACTCACTCTTGTATTGTGTAAACAGGAGCTGTACTGGGTTAAAGACTGGCCTGGAAACTGGAAGTTTTAGATGTGTGTGTGTATGTCTGTGCTTGAGATCCTGTGTGTGTGTGTGTGTGTGTGTGTGTGTGTGTGTGTGTGTGTGTGTGTGTGTGTGTGTTGGTGTGAGGTGTTCTCTCTCTCTAATGTTCTCCTACTCAGCTCCCAGGCACAGAAGGAAAGAGAAACAGTTACATGGAGGTTTAATAGATCATAGACATTGGTTCTAAGTGTCTGAGAGCCCGACTACCTCTGTGCCTCTCCTGCTGTTCTATACAAATAAAAGTAGAAGCATGACACTTTGCAAGTGCAGTGTGCTGGATCTTCTTACCTTCGAACGACATTTGAACATTACCGACACACCTGCTAAAGCAACCCTCAGATCCATTCCATTTACAAGTTCTATTGCTGCACCTTTAAACTGCTGAGCTGTATTCACAAGTTATTCAAAACCACGGACACAGGGCTAGATATTTCTGCATTCCCGTAATGGTTAAGAATAGGATTAGGGTAAGGGTAATCTGATCCTAGATGTGATGCGTTGACAGAGCATTTACAGTTCGACTCAACGCCCAAGCTGAAGGAACCTAATATCAGTACAGCCGCCACCAGGGACAACTGAGAGAGGCTGGGTTGTTTGAGACTGATTAGTCCAACATCTGTTGTTGTGAAAATGAGAAAACCTTGTGGGGGATATTTTCGTAAGGCAGGGTATCTGAGTACCAGAGGCATCTGTCTGTCTTGATTTAAGGTTTTAGAAGGGTCAAACGGGGCCCTGCCTTTTGGTATTTTGGGGGTTCTTGCTGTGCTTGAATTTTGAATCGTAGCTCATTCATTTCAGAAATGTTTTAAAAGAAGGTTTTACCTTCGGAGACCTTACAGTATTTTATGGCAGTTTTTGCCTTTTTCAAATTTCTATCAAGATTGTTGAATGACAGTTTTTTTTTCTTCTGATTCTGATACTAGATAAGAATGTCTGCCAAATGTCAAGAATGATGAAAAACAAAACAGAACAACTGCTTCTTCTTAACAACGTGGTTGAATGTTGGTAGGTTTTGTGCAAAACGACAAGAAAGACGACAACAGTACCTGTTCCTGCGGAGGCGATCTGAACTCCTTGGTCTTCTTGGCGGTGACGGCAGCAGACATGTTGAGGGCCAACATCAGCTCGTTGTACCTGAACTTCTGATTGTACTGCAGCTTGGACACAAAGCTGTCTGAGAAGGACACGATGGCCTCGATGCGCTGCTTCAACTCACAGTCACAGAAGTAGTGCAGCAGCTCACACATCTAGCAGAGAAGAGAGAGTTAGATCATGTTGGATCATGGACAGTACAGTGCAGTGCAGTACACAACAGGGTTGGGCTCAATTCTGAATTGAGTTGTGAATTGTCTAGTAGACTTGAGAAAGATAAAGTTGATGTTCAAACATCTAGTAGAGAGGGTTATTCCAGTCAGTATCATATAAAGTACAGTACTATAGTTAGTACACACCTACTTTTGTTACATGTGATGTACTAATTATGGTTTAATCTGATCAACTAAATGTTATTCAGTACAGTTTATGTTTTTGTTGATAGTCGTTTTGCTGGTAACGATTTTGCTGGTACATTCAATTTGATTGAGTAGCCAGCCACTCATTGTCGTAGCACACATCCCCGCAGCCCTCGTAAGGCAGAGGGCCCCACAGTTATTTCAGACAGTATATGAACACGTCATAAGCCATGAAAAAAATGTGTACAATTAGAGGAAATTAGCTTTCAAACTGCAACATTTTCTCTCTGCCTAATGGCAAAATTTGTAGAATAGCAGGAAATGAGCTCTAAAACAGCAACGTTTTCTCAGCCTCATGGCAAAATGTGTAAAATAGCATGAGATTAGCGCAGACCTTGTGGGGGGGCCCGCAAAACTGTTCAACGCTCTTGTAGCCACTTTACTATTGGCATCAATTTCCTAACAATCCATTTAGCTGGGACTGAACGCCTGGGACTGAACGCCTGGGACTGAACGCCTGGGACTGAACGCCTGGGACTGAACGCCTGGGACTGAACGCCTGGGACTGAACGCCTGGGACTGAACGCCTGGGACTGAACGCCTGGGACTGAACGCCTGGGACTGAACGCCTGGGACTGAACGCCTGGGACTGAACGCCTGGCACTTCACCAACTCTGCCAGTGTGTGAGAAACTGAGTGTGTGTGTGTGTGCGCGCTCTCTCCTACCTGTCGTTTGACAGACTCAGGCAGTGTCTTCTCCAGCAGTCCCTTCACGGGCGGTTTGACCTCCTTGGTCTCCTCCTCACCAGCCTCCACAGCCTTCACCTCGTTGCTGCTCACCTCCTCCTTCTCTCCTCCTCCCGCTGCTGCCTCCACCTCCTCCACCTTCGCCTCCTCCTCCTCTGGCTCCCCGAACACGTTGGGCTCGATGAGGAGCAGGATCAGCCTCACCTAGTACATGGAAAAACACGACACATAATTCAAATATACATCCTATACATTTAACTGCCAAAATAAAGGAAACACTTGAGTAAATGAGGGATACAAAGTATATTGAAAGCAGGTGTTTCCACACAGGTGTGGTTCCTGAGTTAATTAAGCAATTAACATTCCATCATGCTTAGGGTCATGTTTAAAAATGCTGGGCAGGCCATTATTTTGGCTACCATGGCTATGCCCCCATAGGATGACAATGCCCCCCACCTACAGGGCACGAGTGGTCACTGAATGGTTTTATGAGTATGAAAACGATGTAAACCATATGCTCAGTCACCAGATCTCAACCCAATTGAACACTTACGGGAGATTCTGGAGCGGCGCCTTTGACAGTGTTTTCCATCACCATCAACAAAAACACCAAATTATGGAATTTCTGGTTGAAGAATGGTGTCACATCCCTCCATTAGAGCTCTAGACACTTGTAGAATCTATACCAAGGTGCATTGAAGCTGTTCTGTCTCGTGGTGGCCCAACGCCCTATTAAGACACTTTATGTTGGTGTTTCCTTTATTTTGGCAGTTACCTGTATATGCCATTTAACAGACACTATATTTATCCAAAGCCACTTACAGCACAGTCAGTACATCCATTTTTCGTATATGTCACCCCAACGGGAATTAAACCCAGAACGCTGGGTTGTTTTCATTAGTACACACCGAAGCAGAACTGTTCCAGTCCGTTTGCTTTCGTTTCGCTCCTAGTGAATAGGACCCTGGCGTTGCTAGCGCCACACTCACACACCATACCAACTGATTTAAACCTCACCTCCTCGCTGGTGAGAACCCCCATGATCAGCAGGGTCCCGATCAGCTTGAGGATGGGGACAAACTGGTACTCCACACTGCCCCCTACTGGGTCTCTGATGTGACTGCCTCCTCCCTGCACCGCCTCAGTCAGCATACTGATGGCCTTCTCCTTCAGGATGCCCAGGGGGATCTGGGGACTGGAGGAATCATTATAATAATGTATTTTATTTATAGTGCATTTGTCGTACCCAAGTGTATCAGTATAACACTATAAAAATGTCAAAGTAGTAAAAAACAAAACCTGTAGCAGAAATATTGCCTGAAATCTTTCAAATACTTTAAGCGTTTGCTCTTGTCTGTCTAGAGCACCAGATGGGCGGGGTTTACAGTTTTGTCACTATTCTATTGGTCCATTGAGCCAGCCAAGCTCAATCAAGCCCAGATTAAGTATTTCAAATGACTTCAAATAGTATGTGAGCCGAAGTCTGAAAGCATTACAACTTGACAGAAAAGTACTATACAAGTGAAGTTAAATTAGTAAAACTCTGACCTGTGGAGGCGCTGCTGCTTCTTGGTGGTGATGAAGGAGAGAGGGGAGAAGTTGAGGCGTGGTTTCAGAGAGGTGCTGAGGCCTACACCGGGTAGAGAGTGTCTCTTGGACTCGTCAGGGAACAGCTTGATGGAGCGCGTCTCATCGGTCACGGGGATGATAAACTCGTTGTTCATCATCAGGCGTGCCTCCTTCGCTGTCTCCAGGTGGATGCTGGTGGTAGGTACATAGACCAACCAATCAATCCATTAAACAGTCAGTCATTTAACCAATCAATTAAAAGCATAATAATAGATTTCAATAAAAATAGTGGGTAAACATCTTCATTATAAAGACCCCTCATCCACCAACCAATGAACTCCTCACCCACCTCATAAGAACATTATAGAATCCCTCTCTCAGCATGCCGGATAGGTATTGGTTGTCGATGGTGTAGAGCAGCTGTGATTGGTCGAGGTGGGAGCAGAGGGCGTGTGCCACGCGGGTGTTGCCCAATGCGCAGAGGGCACAGTAGAGCTTCAGGGTGTGGTAGTGGAACTTCCTCAAACCCTCATTCTCCGATAGCTCCAGGATGTCCAGACATCTGAGGGGAGGGGGGGGAAGGGGGAGAAGGGGGAGGAGGGGAGGGGGGGAGTTGGGGAGGCTGGAGGAGAGGGGAGAGGGAGGGGAGAGATGGAGAGGGCAGGGGGAGGAGGTGGAGAAGATGGAGAGACGAGGGGGAGGAGGAGCTAGATCGTGAGAGGGGAGGAGGGGAGAGATGGGAGAGGGAGGGGGAGGACGGGAGAGATGGAGAGGGGGCTCCGTCGGGGGGAGGACTGGGGAACGGGCAATGGGTTGCGGCAGGAGCGGGTGGGATGGAGCCGATGAGTGAGGCGAGGGGCTAGGGGGAGAGTGGAGGGCTGGAGTGGAGGGGATGACGATGGAGAGGGATGGCGGAGGACGAGCATGGAGGGGACTGAGGGGAGAGATGGACGGGGCAGGGGGGAGGGAGAGAGCGAGAGAGAGGGGAATGGAAGGGGAGAGTGAGGGGCAGCTGGAAGGGACGAGAGAGGAGAGAGGGGGGAGGGCGAGGATGGACGGGGGGGGGGGGAGGAGCGATGGGGGAAGGACGGGCGGAGTGAGGGGGAGTGGAAGGGGAGAGAGAGAGAGAAGATAGCAAAGAGAGAGAGAGAGAGAGAGTGGCTAAGCAATACATGGATTTAGGAAATATAGTGAAAACTCCAATTAGCCCACCAGAGGGATAAATGAACAAGATATTACTACATTCATCTAATCCTTTCAAATCCATTCAAATCTACGAGAAGTGTCTAAGCCTAAGGGTAGAGGCTAGGTATTGATTCCAGATAGAAATAAACCACAAGTATGCATCAGCCACCTGTTTTCCTCAGGTACATGAACAGCCATCATCTGCAGGGGCTCCAGACACTGCACCACCCAGCCGTGTCTCTCTGAGACCCTGGCAGTCTCCACGGTGAGGAAGGTGTTGGGCATACGGCTCCACAGCACTGCTACGATAGTCTGAACGTCCAGACGCGGAGGACACTGGGGCACAGGGTTACGCTGCTCACTCTTAAAGATGGCCGACGACAGGGGCATGGTGTCCTGGGGACAGAGAGAGATGGATAGAGGGAGAAAGAGAGAGAGAGAGAGAGAGAGAGAGAGAGAGAGAGAGAGAGAGAGAGAGAGAGAGAGAGAGGAGAGAGAGAGAGCGAGAGAGAGAGAGCATCATTACAACACTGTATATAGCCATAATATGACATCTGAAATGTCTCTATTCCTTTGGAACTTTTGTGAGTGTAATGTTTACTATTTATTTTTTATTTCACTTTTCTTTATTTCCTATTTCACTTGCTTTGGCAATGTAAACATACGTTTCCCATGCCAATAAAGATTTTTGAATTGAATAGAGAGAGAGAGAGAGAGAGAGAGAGAGAGAGAGAGAGAGAGAGATAATTGGCTTTTTACCAAATTACCGTACGACAGACCACGTATTCACCCTGCACACCCTAATTGACAAACAAACAAACCAAAACAAAGGCAAAGTCTTCTCATGCTTTGTTGATTTCGAAAAAGCTTTGAGTCAATAAGGCATGAGGGTCTGCTATACCAATTGATGGAAAGTGGGGTTGGGGGAAAATCATATGACATTATAAAATCGATGTACACAAACAACAAGTGTGCGATTAAAATTGGCAAAAAACATACACATTTCTTTCCACAGGGCCGTGGGGTGAGACAGGGATGCAGTTTAAGCCCCACCCTCTTCAACATATATATCATAGAATTGGCGAGGGCACTAGAAAAGTCTGCAGCACCCGGCCTCACCCTAAAGAATCTGAAGTGAAATGTCTACTGTTTGCTGATGATCTGGTGCTTCTGTCACCAACCAAGGAGGTTCTACAGCAGCACCTAGATATTCTGCACAGATTCTGTCAGACCTGGGCCCTGACAGTAAATCTCAGTAAGACAAAAATAATGGTGTTCCAAAAAGGTCCAGTTGCCAGGACCACAAATACAAATTCCATCTAGACATCGTTGCCCTAGAGCACACAAAAAATCATACATACCTCGGCCTAAACATCAGCGCCACAGGTAACTTCCACAAAGCTGTGAACGATCTGAGAGACAAGGCAAGAAGGGCCTTCTATGCCATCAAAAGGAACATAAAATTTGACTAGGATCTGGCTAAAAATACTTGAATCAGTTATAGAACCCATTGCCCTTTATGGTTGTGAGGTCTGGGGTCCACTCACCACTGTGACACTCTGGCTCTATGGACTTTGAATATTGAGCCAGGGTTGTTCATTTTCATGTGTTTGGGTGTATTTCATTTGGTGGTGTTGGGGATGGGTGAGTTTCATTTTGTTTGTGTTGTGGTGATTGGTCTATGACTCCCAATCGGAGGTAACGAGTGTCAGCTGTCGGCTCGTTATCTCTGATTGGGAGCCATATATATTCTGTGTGTTTTCTCCTTTGTTTTGTGGGTTATTGTTTCTTTGTTGCTGTTAGTCGTATTTCAGTTTAGAACTTCACGTATCGTCATTTGTTGTTTACTTCGTGGTTGCTTTAAGTTAATAAAGTCATCATGTTCACTCGCAACGCTGCGCATTGGTCTCCTCCTTCAGACGATCGTGACAGAATAACCCACCACAAAAGGACCAAGCAGCGTAACAAGCGGCAACAGGACCTACCTACACAGGAGTTATGGACGCCTCCTAAGGTCGGGACATGGGAAGAGTTATTGGACGGAAAGGATCCTTGGGCACAACCGGGAGAATATCGCCTCCCTCGTGAAGAGCTGGAGGCAGCCAAAGCCGAGAGGAGGTGGTACGAGGAGGCAGCGCGAAGGCGAGGCTGGAAGCCCGTGGAAGAGAGGCAACCCCAATAAATTTTTTGGGGGGGGGCACATGGCTTGGGCAGCTGGGCAGCAGGAGGCTGCCACAGGGAGAAAAGGAGAGAAGGCTAACGGAGTACGGGAGCCATTGGCGAGTGGAAGGAGGGAAGTTGTTGTGGCACGGCATGAGAGACTGAAGTGTGTTACCAGTCCGGTCCGGCCCGTTCCTGATCCGCAGTTAAGGCCATTGGTGTGTGTTCCCGGTATGGACCGGCCTGTTCCTACTCCACGCACCAGGTCCACGATGTGCGTCGCCAGCCGGCCAGAGTCTGCCGTCTGCCCTAGGGCGTCTGAACTGCCCGTCTGCCAAGCGCTGCATAAGCCGCCCGTCTGTACTGAGCCTGCAAAGCCGTCCGTCTGCCAGGAGCCTTCAGAGCCTTCCGCCAGACAGGAGCCGCTAGAGCCTTCCGCCAGACAGAATCATACACCTGCTATGGAATCAGCAGGAGCCGACGCAGCCCATACTAGACTGGAAGCTCGGGTTCGGGACCAGAAAGAGCAGCTCCTGCGGATGGGAGCCGCCCTGCTGGAGGTGATGACTGCAATCCGAGGCTGGGGTCCGCCTCCACCGCCAGCCTCCCAGCCAGCACCATCAGCCAGCCATGGGCAGCCAGATCCGTCAGCCAGCCATGAGCAGCCAGATCCGTCAGCCAGCCATGGGCAGCCAGATCCGTCAGCCAGCCATGAGCAGCCAGATCCGTCAGCCAGCCATGAGCAGCCAGACCCGTCAGCCAGCCATGAGCAGCCAGATCCGTCAGCCAGCCATGAGCAGCCAGATCCGTCAGCCAGCCATGAGCAGCCAGATCCGTCAGCCAGCCATGAGCAGCCAGATCCGTCAGCCAGCCATGAGCAGCCAGATCCGTCAGCCAGCCATGAGCAGCCAGATCCGTCAGCCAGCCATGAGCAGCCAGATCCTTCAGCCAGCCATGAGCAGCCAGATCCGTCAGCCAGCCATGAGCAGCCAGATCCGTCAGCCAGCCATGAGCAGCCAGATCCGTCAGCCAGCCATGAGCAGCCAGATCCGTCAGCCAGCCATGAGCAGCCAGATCCGTCAGCCAGCCAGGATCCGCCAGAGCCGTCCAGCCAGGATCCGCCAGAGCCGTCTAGCCAGGATCCGCCAGAGCCATCCAGCCAGGATCCGCCAGAGCCGTCCAGCCAGGATCCGCCAGAGCCGTCTAGCCAGGATCCGCCAGAGCCGTCCAGCCAGGATCCGCCAGAGCCGTCCAGCCAGGGTCCGCCAGAGCCGTCCAGCCAGGGTCCGCCAGAGCTGTCCAGCCAGGATCCGCCAGAGCCGTCCAGCCAGGATCCGCCAGAGCCGTCCAGCCAGGATCCGCCAGAGCCGTCCAGCCAGGATCCGCCAGAGCCGTCCAGCCTGGATCCGCCAGAGCCGTCCCGCCAGGATCCGCCAGAGCCGTCCCGCCAGGATCCGCCAGAGCCAGCCAGCCAGGATCCGCCATCTAGTCAGGTGATGCCCCTTAGCCCGGTGCTGCCCCTTAGTCCGGTGCTGCCCTTTAGCCCGGTGCTGCCCCTTAGTCCGGTGCTGCCCCTGAGTCCGGTGCCGCCCCTTAGCCCGGTGCCGCCCCTTAGTCCTGTACTGCCCTTTAGTCCGGTACTGCCCCGTAGTCCGGTGCAGCCCCTTAGTCCGGTGCTGTCCCTTAGCCCGGTGCTGCCCCTTATCCCGGTGCTGCCCCTTATCCCGGTGCTGCCCCTTAGGCCGATGCTGCCCCTTAGTCCGGTGTTGCCCCTTAGTCCAGGTGGGGTTAGTTGGAGGGTGGTCATTGGGAGGAGGCTACCGAAGCAGGTTGTGACTGTGGTGGGGTGGGGATCACGACCGGGGCCAGAGCCGCCACCATGGACAGACGCCCACCCAGACCCTCCCCTAGTCCTGATGTTGGTGCGCCCGGAGTTCGCACCTTTAGGGGGGGGTACTGTGACACTCTGGCTCTATGGACTTTGAATATTGAGCCAGGGTTGTTCATTTTCATGTGTTTGGGTGTATTTCATTTGGTGGTGTTGGGGATGGGTGAGTTTCATTTTGTTTGTGTTGTGGTGATTGGTCTATGACTCCCAATCGGAGGTAACGAGTGTCAGCTGTCGGCTCGTTATCTCTGATTGGGAGCCATATATATTCTGTGTGTTTTCTCCTTTGTTTTGTGGGTTATTGTTTCTTTGTTGCTGTTAGTCGTATTTCAGTTTAGAACTTCACGTATCGTCATTTGTTGTTTACTTCGTGGTTGCTTTAAGTTAATAAAGTCATCATGTTCACTCGCAACGCTGCGCATTGGTCTCCTCCTTCAGACGATCGTGACAACCACCAATAATTCACAAAATGGTACAAACACCAAATTGAGACTCTGCATGCAGAAATCTGCAAAACTATCCTCTATGTATAACGAAAAACACCAAATAATGCATGCAGAGCAGAATTAGGCAAATACCCGCTAATTATCAAAATCCAGAAAAGAGCCGTTAATTTCTATAATCACTTAAAAGGAAGCGATTCCCAAACCTTCCATAGCAAAGCCATCACCTACAGAGAGATGAACTTGGAGAAGAGTCCCGTAAGTAAGCTGGTCCTGGGGCTCTGTTCACAAACACAAACAGACCCCACAGAGCCCCAGGACAACAACAACAACACAATTAGACCCAACCAAATCATGAGAAAACAAAAAGAGAATTACTTGACACATTGGAAAGTATTAACAAAAAAACAGAGCAAACTAGAATGCTATTTGGCCCTAAACAGAGAGTAGACAGTGGCAGAATACCTGACCACTGTGACTGATCCAAACTTAAGGAAAGCTTTGACTATGTACAGACTCAGTGAGCATAGCCTTGCTATTGAGAAAGGCCGCCATAGGCAGACCTGGCTCTCAAGAGAAGACAGGCTATGTGCACACTGCCCATAAAATGAGGTGGAAACTGAGCTGCATTTCCTAACCTCCTGCCAAATGTATGACCATATTAGAGACACATATTTCCGTCAGATTACAGAGATCCACAAAGAATTTGAAAACAAACCCAATTTTGATAAACTCCCTTATCTACTGGGTGAAATACCACAGTTTGCCATCACAGCAGCAAGATTTGTTACCTGTTGCCACAAGAAAAGGGCAACCAGTGAAGTACAAACACCATTGTAAATACAACCTATATTTATGTTTATTTAATATCCCATTTGGACTTTAACTATTTGCACATTGTTACA